TTTTTAGAATAATTAGTTAAACAACTGATACTCTGTAAATGATTAGTTGAGGGCAGGGGGGTGAGCAAGTAGGTCACGACACCATTTACGTTTTAAACATCTGGGTGGGTTACCAGGAATAGTATGGACTGCAAGATTACGTATTAGCGGGTTGCTATTTGAGGAAAGACGATTGTGGAAGCGTTGGTAATGATCTATAGCTTCTTCATGTACCAGTTTCATTTTTAGATCAGTGTGAATAGTRTGGTTTGAGACGTAAGGAGGAGCGTTTAGAAGTTTCCTGAGTGCTATGTTTATATTTTACATTTTAATGCAAGTTTTTAGGGAAAAATGATTGCAATCTACCTATAATACTATAATAAATTACTTAAATTACAATATTATCATAAAATACTTTGTAATTATATTACCTATATAGACATACAGACCGGGTGTTGACTAGTTTCCTTCAACAGCTGTTTTTTGCATTTTAAAATATTCCAGTTATATCCTCGACGGCTTCAACCTAATGTACCATTTGTCATTTGCTCACAAACTAATATACTGGTGGCGGATACTCTCAMATATTTTAAATTCAGGTTTATAATACCAACCCGTAAAATGGAGGAGGTAAATAGGTAAATAATAATCAAAGTATAAAAATAATAGTTCAAATGGTACAAACAGAATATTTTACCAGAGTGCTTAATTTTAGATGTGTGTAAGTGTAATTATAATTATTGTTTTTATTATTTTATTATATCTACCTATTCATATTATTTTTATAGATTTTACCTATCATTTTATACAATTTTTTTATTAATTACAAATTGCAATATCTAATATCTTTATAATTTATATATATTTAATTGCAAATATAATTTTATACTATATTACCTTTTTTGACAACTTACATTTTATGCCACTTATAAGTTATAATTATTGTATTTATACGTTTACGCGTTTATTATAAATATTATTATCACTTACATACCTATTTTACCTCTGCTATTTTATGGATTGGTATATTATAATCATTTTAATCACACCTACTGTATAGTGTATGGCAGAGACTAACTCACATTTTCACTTTTTTTTTTACTTCATTGTCATTTACTTGTTATAGACTATAGTGCATGTACAGAGCACATTTTTTTTTTTGGTGTGGGAGGGGTGCGGGGCGACGGAGCTCCCCTACTATTTTTATTTTTTTTACTTAAACGGGGGGATGGTACAAAGTAATGTCCAAAATAATTTTTAATAAAAYATGGATTTTTAATTGATGTCAATTATATTACTATTTTACTATTTTTCATATCAAAATTATTTTTGATATGAATTTGTCATTCCCAACAATGAAATTACCAAGGTTTTTTTTCAGTGTATAGCATCATCACCATTGGTTATAAATACTAGTATTTATAATCAATGGTATCATGTCTTAATATATACCTATTATAGCAGTTTTTCTATCTTTGTATATTTATTATTATTTTATTTTCATTCATAATTCTAAATTATTTAAATAATATTACTTATATCTAAAATGTGTTTTGTGTAAGGTATGTAATTATATTTTTAAATAATTTAGAATTATGAATGAAAATAAAATAATAATAAATATACAAAGATAAAAAATGTATTGTGTCGCAATGGGTGATCGCTTGTTTGTTGGTTTGTCATTAAAAATGACATATGATGGTGACTTATGCACGATTTATGCAAAATCGATGACGTGTCCGATAATTTGAAAAATTAATAAAAGCTTGCATTCGCTGATTTAGCGCATTCTTTAGTTGAATACTAGTTTTTATAATCAGTGGCTCATCATATTGTACGAACTTAATTAGTCTGCAGGAAAGATGACCGGGGGGTTTAATAAGTGGATCATGTATATGTATAGTATATAGAGCGATTAAAAAAGTGGTAAAAATATTTCATAATAACTATTTAATTTGTGATGTAAAAACTAAGCGTAATTTCAAAACGATATTCACTATATAATAATTATATATTACTTATATAGTTATATACCTATATAAAATATAACTGCAAACCATCTTCATTTTGCGACTGGTCGGTGAACGAAACTGTGTAGCGTACCTACAGCAAGAGTTGGAATGGCCCAGCGAGTTACCGAGTAAACTTCGATGGGCCGCGACAATTTTGGGCCGTTTAAGTTATGAGGCTGCTGACTGGAAATGTGTTAAGAGTTTAAAGTTGAAAAATCGAGTCCWAGTATTGGATTTGCATAGATCATATAGTTATAGTATATAGTTCAATAGTTGTAGGTGTTGTTGATATTAAGTTTTTAAGTGGGACGCGGGACGTTGCCACGTTGGCTGATAAGTACAAACAAACTCGGTGTGCCAAATTTGTCCAATCCCGCTATGCGCTACAGAAATTGAAGGAACCGAAGAACCGAGAACCGGAACCGGCCACTCTCTAATTCTGAGTAAAAGAGACTATATAATCCATATACATATAATGTAATAACTTTTGGCTGACATAAAACTTAAAATGTTTAAGATATCAAAAAACTGCATGTAAATATCAAAGTTGCTCAGAAATAAAAAGCAATTCAAATCCAGTCTCAAAAATAATGGTTTCTATTTAAAGAATTTTTATTTTAATATGCATGCGCCGATAATTATAGTTATGTAATAGTATTATAGTAATATGTATTATAGTAGTGCTGCAGGCAGTAAAAAACTCCCGAATCAAACTCCAAGTGATGCGTTCGTAATATTTTTTGTTATACTTTTAAAATTGAATACTTGGTATATATTTAAATTTAAAGATAATCATTATATTAAATTGAATATTGTATTGATTATTTGTATAGACGGAGGCTAAGGCCCCCCAAGTTTTCGACTAGCACCTCAAATGTATACCATTGCAGTTATGTACCTACACTCCTACAGTTTTGTATTATTATTCAAAAATATAGGTACTATACTTTAAAGGACACCACACAGTGGAGTACAAGCAGGGGGGGGGGTCTGGGTCCAACCTCCTCAGGGGTAAAAAAAAATTTACTAATGACTATACAAGTTATGTGTGGAAAAATCTTGAGTCCGTGTGGCTTCAGCGTAAGATTTCGGTCTGGAATGAGGGTTTGACTCCGGAAATTTGGCTGGAGGTGCTTTTGAGGGTCTTATTTTTTTTAAGATCTTGTGAAAACTTTGCATCCTCTGAAGTTAGTGGTGTAGTCCCCGGAACAGAATGTAACACTTGGTTGGACTTTTTCGGCTCTTGATGCACTCGCAAGTACAATAATGCTCCGCACCACATATTTGTTTTGTCATTTTACCTATTAATATTTAAAGATATGTGTGTTTTTTTTTTTAGGAAAATGGGTAGTTTTAAAGGGAAGGTTTTTATATTGGTCGTTTTAAAAAAAAAAGTTTAATCTAGATTTCTGCTAGGGTTTTAGAATTTATTATATAATATGTTATATATCCAAGTTTTTTTTTACGTTACATCAAAGTTGGAAACATGATTCGTAGCCAGTAGACCATCGGTCTGCACAAGAGGATTTTAGGAAGAGCCAAATGTAATTTTTTATTTTTATTACCTATATCTGTGGCTTGAGCTCCCCCTACCTCGATTAAATGTATCAAGCTCCCCCCTAAGATTATTCAGAATTGTATTACCTACATTAAAATTCAATGATAATATTTCTTGACTTCTTGTAATAAAAGTGGTTATTAATAATGCTATATTATATTTACATTTTTAGATTCTGAGCGGAGTGAGGAATATATTAGTTTTACAATGTTTATTTGTTATTTCTTTATAAGTTATAACCTCATTCCTCTTAACTAATTGGGTTGACCGAATTAATTAAAGTTAAATTTAAACAAAATATCCATGGAATGAGCCAAGGTATAACGTCATATTTGAACATTATATTAAGTAAAAAAAAGAACTTAATGTAAATTAAAAAGTTCAAAGGAGGTTTAGTATATATTTTAAGTCATAAATAATAAATACTGCCACACTGTGTTGGCCACCAAAGCACCAACACAGTATTTTAGGCCCTACAAAGTACAAAATAAGTTTAAATGACTACTAACTAACACTAATTTTCAGAAAATACTAATAATTAATTGTGTTATTAAACGGCTGCCCGGTTGAAGTCTAGACCGATCACGAATTGATTCTACTGTATATAAATATAACCGCACGTACAACATGGTAGATAGTGTCACCACCATATAAAATAAATTATCTATTAATCTACTCTGTGCTGCCACTATTAAGCCCTATTAAGAGGACGTGATACCACCAATTTTGAAGTGTAAAAACATCATAAGGATAATAATAAAAATAAATTACGATAATGACACGCTGTCACATGATTTTAGAAAATAGCGCGTGCGGCGCAGCCGAGGACACGACATTTTAATCATTTTATCTATTTTCTATGGACACGACATCATATTATTAATTGATAACAGTAGAAAGCTGTTATCACTGTTAAAACCAGGCCAATGAGGCAATGACCATTCCATTCTAATATTCTCTTCTCTCTTGACAACTTGACGACTTGACGTTGTAAGTTGTAAGTTGTAACTTGTAAGGCAGAACATTTTATGGTTTTAAGTTTTCGTAGTTCAATCTCGGAATTGGCAAATCCTGATACTCGTTTTTTTTTTTAAATCAAAATGTAATGTCGATTGTTGTTAAATATTTCATGTTGCTTATTTATTGTCCATAATAAATTAATTCCAAATACGAGTAAATTATTGTTTAAATTCTACGGACAATGCAGACTAAAATGGATAAGACCGAAGACTCTTTTAATAACAATTACACTACTTATGARTACCAGGTAAAGAATGGTATCAGGGAGAAGAAACATTACGGAAACACTAATGGTTACCAGAACAAACCAACGCAATATGATGAAGTTGTCGCTCAATTATTCAAAAAACAATTTCCCCTGACTAATCAAGGCAAGTGGGAACTTCCTAACCCGGATACCATGCTGAGACTCTGTAAATGGGAGGTAATCAACATCATTAAATTCCATTTTAACCCCTGTATTGTTCAATATTCATATATAAATTAATTAAACATATATTGATAAATTAATGTTTTTGTAAATATCCTAATGTYCATTGGCATATGAAAGTTAAGGTCATTATTTATAATAACCTTTATCATAATTTATTAGTAACACATTAACTAGGTATCTATATTATATTTTATATTTAATACAGTTTTGGAAATTAAAAAATTTGATTTTTCATATATTTTTTAATTTTAAAGGAATGATTATTAATTTGTAACTTCCTAATAAATTATTTTTATAAGCTAGAAAAAATATTATAATCTGGATTGGCAAGTGAATGGACTTCAAATTATTTTACTACAAAATGTATAAGTAGTGTAGGTAACTACTAATATCAAAAAAAAAAAAGAAAAACCAGTTMCTAACTTTAAATTAGACTTATTATCTATAAAA